AGTATGGTACAGTAATAAAATGCACAAATAATGCAAAAAGTACGTGGAAATGTGGAAAACCAATGAGCCCAAAGCACTGATTTTCTTGATCACAATTATCCAGTTTAAGGACTTAGATATTACAGTACAGTATTATCTTTTATATTTTTAAGCGTTCGTAACCTCGAAACAGCGTTATGGAGTTCGCGTTCGTAACTTCGAAACAGCGTAAGTCGCGACCGTCGTAACCCGAGGACTCCCTGTATACTCTAAACCAGTTGTTCTCAACCCTCTCTGTATCATACAAACCAATGTTTCGTAACTTGAAACACTTTTTAGACTCTCAAGAGTAAGACTCTCGGAAAACTAAGACTCTAACCCCAAACCCACTAGTTGTTATCGTCTTGACAATTACAAATTTCAGAACACCCCTTCGAAAATTCCTGCTGCACCCGTGTTCCGAAAGCTAAAGGAACTGCTGAATAAAAGTATATTAATCATACAATATATGAACTAAAAATATATAGAAAAGCAAATGACAATAATACTATACTGACAAAACAAAAGTAGCGTTAAAAGTTTGTTAATAGTAGCTAAACCTGATTTGGTTATATTTAAATAATATACATACAATATTATAGACTCTAGCATTTCAATGTAAACTTGTGGACCTCGGCTGAAAATAACTGCTCTAATTCCTGTATAGGATGTTATTCTATTTACAACTAGAATCTGAATTCTTATAGAGAATTTCATTGAATTATTTACCGGTATTATTAATTTCAAAATGAAAAATATAAATAAAATCATCGTGAATTAATAAAAGTTTCATTTAATAAACTCGATTAATTGGTCATTCATATCTTCAATACTGTTACTAAATGAAACATTTCTCACAAATCAGCTCTTTTAATGTTATTTCCTTAACGAGCAGGTTCACTGGGCAATATCCAAATTTTGTGTCTACAAAGCCAATACTCTACCAGAAGCACTTTGATAAAATCTGAATCATCGATATCCATCCTAATTCAATTTTCTACCAAACTGCAACCGTTCAATGAAGAGAAAATCTTTGCCGGCCTGCTAGTGATCATTCAATATTAATGACAAACCTTGCGAGGTAAATCTGGGTGGGATTTGTGATTGATAGGAAAAATCAAAGTTTTGATTCAAAGAAGCTGTCTAAAGAGGGTTTATGATCAGCTTGATGTTTGCAAGTATTATATGCAAAAAAAAATTACAAAAGTTGAATATTTGCATGAAAGTTTACATGAATATTTTAGACAGTAGACTAAGTCGCTGGTTATCACCAAATTAATTAACATTTTAAGGTTTCATATTTATAATAGTTTTGTTTTAATAAATTCTATTTCGAAATATATTGATTTGGTAAGCTGGCTGGTTTTGATTAACCCCGTATCAAAACCCTGAAAAGAATTACTGTTAGTGCATGTTAACTTATTAACAGCTGAGCAACATTTGATAAACAATATGAATACTCATACTTCATAACTCATAATTCATATCAAGAACAGCAAAGGACATCAAATTTATTATACAGCAGCACTCCAAATCATGACAAAACATAGAAGTTAATTTACAGAGAAAAATGGAATGTTACTTATAAGACTATATATTGAATTTATTTCTACAATACAGTTTAACCTCTGTCTAAATCTTTTACTTATTTTCATAAAATTGAGATAAAACGGCACCAAATCCTTTATTCCAGCAGGCAAATATAATCTTTTTGTAAAATTTTAAAAAGGTCCAAACTAAAATCTGAAAGGACACAAAATTCAGTATCACATCAGCACCTCAAATCATGATAAAACAGAGCTAATATACAGTAAAAAAGAAAGGTTACTAATAAGACTATTAGCTAACTGAACTTATAGAATACGATTTATAAAACAATTTACCCTGTCTAAATCTTTTACTCATTTTTTTAAATTGAGTTAAAACGAAGCCAAAATCCCAACAGCCAGACAAATTCTGTTGGTAAAATCTTAATTAAGGAGATTTACCGTGAACTAAAATCTGAGAGGCCACAGAATCCCAGTATCACAGCAGCCAAACAAAATCTTTTAGTAAAATCTTAAGAAGATTTAAACTAAAATCTGAAGGGACACAAAACTGCTGTAACAAAAGCCACCATATGTCTGTCTTAGTTTTTATAAAACGAAATAAACAAACTTGGCAAACAGCATACCAACTGTTTATAACAAAATCTTCTATTAAAACTATGAAACCATGAGCGACCTAAACTCAAATCATAACAAACACAAATTCTTGACTTTATAATTCAAGTCAACATAATATGTTTAAGTCTTTGATTAGTTATATACTTTGACAAGACACTAAAGGAAGCAAAATCAGCATTATTATTGTAAATAAACTTTTCTAGAAAAATAAGACATGACCAACAATGTTACAACAAGTGCCTAACAAAACCTTTTAGTATTGGTATAACACCAGAAGAGACAAGAAAAAGAGACAAATCCTAGAACACACAAAACTCCTGAAATATCAGTAACCATTTTTTTTGTAGAATTCAATTAAGTTGAAAACAGTAGAACACCACAACTGTCTACCAAAATCTTCTAATAAAACTATGAAACCTCAAGTGAACTAAACTCAAATCATAACAGGCGCCTCGCCCGATTGGTTCGGATGTAAATATAAACTCACAAAACCACAACCTATCAAGTATGGCAATTTAAATACTTTATATAGGTATGATCGTGTTTTCTGCGGGCCATAATTGAGCTATTTATTGTACATTCAGGAAATATGATGTGACTAAGGTTTTTTGGAGTGAGACAGATGACTCACATCCAGATGAAATATGAATAGAGTTGCTGAATTGGAAAAAATAGAATAGTGTTCAGGTTAGACATGAACATGACATTAAGAATATTTTGTGGGAAATTTGAAGTATGGTAGGACAAAATAGCTTTTCTTCTTGGTTTCAAGAATTTTATCAGTCATATTGCGAGACTTCATTCTAAGCACATTTATGAATAGAGCTTAGTTGGGAATATCGAATGGAGAGTCACTAAGTTAGGCATGCTCTCGACAGTCCATATTGAATTAACTTGTGTGTCATGTATATATTTTATTGCCATTGCTTGTTTTCTGGTTGACTAAACAATGTCTCACTCTCATGAACGAGGCCATGAATGACAGTTTGTAAGTAGGTTGAGGTATTGTGACATCATAGTATTTTATTTTTAAGATTTTCTCTTTAGTTTGAAGAGAAAAACATGTGATGAGACACCTTAAGTAGATGATAAATAAAACCTCTTTTGTGGTTACTATCAGAATTTAGTAAGTTGGGAAAATGGGAGAGAGGAGTGAAAGTGGGTGGACATAACATGAGACCAGAGGAAATTACCGTATATCCGCGCAAATAAGCCAAGTTTAAAACTCAAAAGAAAAGCTGGCAAACTAAGGGGTCGGCTTTTATGCACATAACTCTGAACGGACATAATCGAAATGACATTATGCTAACTTATGTTGATTCCAACAGCTACAACTCGATCCATGCTAAGTTCTTATGACAATGTTCTTATATGCGAATTTTTATAAATTCACCGTTTTAGGGTCTTTTTAGGGAGTCTTAAATGAGAGGATATACTGTAACTTCAGTTTATCAGGTGTATCCAAAATGGATTCAAAATAAGTTTGAAAGATCACCCTATTTCATAGAAAGAAAATATGTTATTCTATCTTCAACTAGAATAAATCAGTAATATCAACTTCCTGAATTCTTAATAAAGACCCATTTATTGATGCTAATGATTTGGTTTCTGCGGAATAACTACTTATCCTCCTTTATGCCTTGCGGATCCATATGCATAAGATGCAAGGATGCTGTAGTAGCAAGAGTAAAGATAACTTAAGACCCTTGAATTGGTACTCCCGTAGTATGCGAACTAGGATGGCGGACACCAGAAGGTAGTCTGTGTACCAGGTTATGATTAGGCCATAATTTCAAGTACAAATACTACGGGAGTCACTTGGCTAGTCCCCGAACTCGTAACAGAACTACAATAAGGAAAATTGGAATAAAATTATGGCTTAACTGCGGGAGTACCCTTGAATCACTTTTTACACATTTGTTTATTTTTAATTGTAAAATGAAAAATATAGATAAAATCACTGTGATTTATTCAAAATCCCATTTAAACTGGATTAATTGTTCATTCCCACCCTCAATACTAACTGCTACTAAATGAAATAATTCTCACAAATCAGCTCCTTTTAAAGTTATTTCCTTAATGAGCAGGTTCAAAAGGAAATGAGAAATGAGTTTAAATTATTAGTTTGAACAAATTTCAATTCATTTCTACCCTGTAATAAACTCAATAGGGCGTGGAACAAATTGCCTATTACAATATGAATAGGAACAGTGATTTCTCACGACTAAGTTATTTTTAGGTTAGTTCACAGAATATTCATGGCCAGTGTCTACAAAATAAATAAAATACTTTGACTAGTAATGCGATGCCTATAACTGAATACTTCGGTATCATCAGATTCTCAAAATGAATTTGTATATTGTATATTGATTGAATTAATAAGATACTTTTGATTGAAAATAAAAATTTTACATTTCAAAAAAAAGTTGAAAGTTCTTGATTAGATGAAATTTTCATTGGCATTTTTTCTCTGGACTTCTCCAATAATAGCAATATGAAACAGGGCATTTGTAAAGATTTCTCCGTTTCATATGTATAGCAATAAAAATTCCAGAAAATCAAATATTGATGCGGACATCGTTTGGAGAGGATAAAAATTAAATGCATCGTTAACTAATCGTCAAGGGTTTACTGTATATCCTCGCATATAAGTCGAGTTTAACAAAACTCGAAAAAAAAAGTTGCCAAACTAAGAGGGCGACTTTAACGCACATAACTTTGATCGCACTCACACGAAATGACATAAATCTAACTTAATCTTGTATCATAAAAGACTTTAAAAGAATACAAAACGAAACCAAAAAGTAGAAAAGATACCTTTGTTCAGTCATGTTGTCAGACATTGTTAATATTTCGATCTGTAATCCACTCTGATTATTTATCCAATAATAGTTAATAATATCTATTGAGGTATATTTAACACAAATATATATTTATAAAAATACTCTGGAATACAGAACACATTAATTTGAAAAAAATGTCTTTTTAGTAACTGAAACCAAAATATACCAATCATATCTAAAGTTGAACTAAAAACTAAAAATAATTTTGCTGGACATCCAAAGACTTTACATTATTTATCCAATATTAATAATATTCTGAGGTCTAGAGTCTAGTTAACACAATATATACAAATATAAAACTCTGTAATTTGAAATTTAAAAAATGTCCTTTATTAATTATTTATCCAAAACAAAAATACCTCAACTCTTAAAGCTGGTATCTAATCTAATAATATATTGAAGCAAAATTCATTATTTCAATAAAGAGTTAAGTTATAGGAGTTTAAAATCAAAACGACATGTTTTCCTGATCTACTCAAAAGAGCTTTTTCAAATATTGCCGTTTCGGATGAATAGCTAACTTTAATTGAAGACTTATATTTCAATCTAATATGAGCTAAAAATATCACAACTCATCCCACAAAATCCCAATCGATATATCTGAATAAAAACCTCCAAAGACTTGATGAAATTTATGAAAAATATCTTTTCATGCAAAACATGCCAATCTAATCCTACTTTGAAGCAATATTAACCAAAGTTTTTATATCAAAAGTCAAACGAATTTAAAATCAAAAATATTCGCTCTCCTAATCTCATGAAAACAGCTTTTTTTAACCCTTTGGGTTGAAGTTATCTATGCTTGATAACTCTAATCAAAAAAGAAAATTAAAAATTAAACATAAAAGAGCAAAAAATATCACTACCAAGCCCAAATTTCAATCAATATACCTAAAACAGAACATGTTAACACTACAAGCATTCGATACAAAAGAAATCTCACAACCAAACGTCCTGCGTTTCCTGTGCTGATTGATCAATATGATAAAAAGTAATGACGCACTTATGGAATGATGTTATATGTATTGGAAGAAGTTTAGTAATTAAAGTAGATAACGTGTTGTCTGTATTGTGCGAGTGTAGACTATTTTTTAGACGTCAATTGTGACTTGTTAGACACTAATTATCATAGGATAGAATTCATATATTTATTCCGAACCACGCCATGTCCATGTCGGATATGGGATTAGGCAGCCAGTTATTTGTTTCAGATGGTGAAGGAATCAGTAACAAACCAGCGGTTATGTAAACCACTATTAGCGTGGTGCGCCACACTGCCAAGCTAATTCACTAATTATATATGCTTCCACTCAGAATAAGACTCCACACAAGAGTGAACCACTCCCAAAAGGGTATATTGATAATAGAAAAGTGTGCAAAGTGCAGACAGTTCTTAGTTAGCAAGAAATTTTCATTCTTATTAGTTAAACATGAGGTATTTTTATGCCTTCACCTGCCTTCAGCATAAGTATATGAATTCCATATATCACTTTGGCCCTCACGGATATATTAAATGTAGTAAAAATACATTGCCGATTACAAACCTGGTTAAAATATATTGAGAACTGACTTCATAACAAAATTGAAATTGTAAAGGAACTTCATGGACACCCTGTATTACAGACTAGACCCCAACTTATCAGAATCGGCTTAGCTATTTTAGTTTACCCCGATCTCCTCTGAAATTCCCATTATTTCCCTGCTTATCAGAATCCGGTAATCTAGCGTTTAAGTAAAAACAAAAAGTACAGAGGCCGTAAAACAGAACAGTATACTTAACTAGGCAGCCTGATAGCATATGATATTTTAATAGCTGTGTACTTCATAGACTGTTAATTATTAAATAGGTAACTTGAATCATTTACTAGTTATGTAGGAGTCATTTCATAGCATTCTGCAAACTATTACGTTTGAGCAAACAGAGAAAGGGGATTTCAGTCATCACTAAAAATAGCCAAGTATAACAAAGTCCAATATAAAGAGATAAGATAGATCTAATAGAAAAATATTTTAATAGTTGCGTATGAAATTAATTTAGAAATAAGTTTTTGAACCTTGCACTATTGTTAATCAGTTTTGATAGCTACTAAAAATAGCAAAACGACAAAGTCAAATATGAATGAGTAGATAGTCAACTATGAAAGTTTGCATAATCTTGCTGCAAACTTTCATTAGGAAACAAGGAAAGGGGCTTTTGGTTTTCACTAAAAATAACCAAAACTGCAAAGTCCAATATAGGAGTAGTAAGAAGATCGAGTTTATTAAGCATGCTTTTACTATCGGGTTTAAAATGTTATATATTGCAGTATCAATGATTATAATTTTTCCAGTGAAATTATTTTATTATCAGTAAAAGTTGTGTGAGACTAACTCCCAATTCTTCCTCAATGCCTTTGCCCCAGTGCAGGGTGGTCCAAGATTGGCAGCTCCGCGGGCCACAAAAATACTTTTGAATTGTTCGCGGGCCACAATAGTGTCAAGAACTTTGCTCGTTTAACTTCGCTAGTTGCCTCAGCAAGCCATAACACTAGTCAATTCAGTGACATTAGTGATGCAACAATATGTCAAAAGATTTATTGGTTAATTTTATGACAAAACAACACAAAATACGATTTTTTGATTCCACTCCGAATGCGACGCGGGCCACAGATAATGATGTGGCGGGCCGCATGTGGCCCGCGGGCCTGGGTTTGGACCACCGTGCCCTAGTGGATGCATATAATGCAAGAATACTGTAGCAGGAATAAACATGGCCATACCATGCAATTCAAGAGTCCTGTTGCACACTAATACAAATGTATTTCTGTAACGTTTGACCAAAATCAGACTTCCTCAGACCATTGTTGAAAACTCTCAGGAAGTCTGATTTCAGTCAGACGAAACGTTACAGAAATACATTTGTATCAGTGTGCAGCAGGACTTTTGAATTGCATAAAATTATTTTAAATTGAACTTGAATATATATTTTATTTGAATCAATTATATCTTTTTCTACGACAATTGGTTATAGACCTTGTGCTATTAAAGTGGCCTTACAAAACCTCCATCTCTCTCTCTCAAACTTTCCCAACCACAGTATTTCATTTCAAAGATAACATCACAGTAATTGCTATCAGTTTACAAAACTTGAGGCACAAAGAGCTGTTGTTCAACTCCCAGGAGGTCTAGTGTGGTCTCATAATAACATGACCACATGTTCTTATTTTTAATGGAAGTCGACAGTATGACAGAAATCTGGCTTAGTAGTTGGCAAGTGCTTGAAACCTGCTTCCCATTGTACATTGATTAGCATGACAGGGCTAGGAATGGAATTTCTGTGGGGAGATGGATTGTTGGACTTCATTCTGTTTGGAGGACAGTTGTTGTAACTGCTGGGCATCTGGTGTTAAAGCCTGCACATTTTTATTTTTTATTTTCCACGAACTCTTTGGGACCGTTTTACACAAAAATAAACAAAAATTCACCACCAAGAGCATTTCTCGATTTTTTTGGAGAACTCGTGCAAACTAGCCAGTATCTATCTATGGTAACAATACCCTGTGACCACATAATTGTCCAATATAAGCTCTTATATAACAGAAGAACAGAGTACGGAAAGGAATGAGCAAATCAAATAATTGATCCAAAATATTTTGAATCAATGAATTTTGAAATAATTTGAAATGTTGGGCCTATTGGTGAATTGGTGATAACTCAAATAGACACTAATTTAGACAAACTTGGTTAAGATATAATCAGAAATAACTAGAATTGTAACAGAACGGTAATGGACATTTTATTTATAAAATATAAAACCAATTAAATCACTGTTCATCTTCATTTTCCTGCATTTCTAAGTATAGACTCATTGAATATTCATTAACATCTTTGCGCTTTTGGCGAAACAAGACTCGTTTTATAAAATATTCAATGATCTGTATCAAAAATATTCTGTATTTATAATAATTGATTTTTCACTTTTGGCCGTCATATTAGAGTTCAAGTCAAGTCACGGATTCCAGATCTTACTAGAACCTGTGTATCCAATTATATTCCTGTGGGATGAGTGGACATTAATATTTAATGCTAAAGTGCATAAAGCAGAGATTATCTTATTAATCATGCATCGAAGACTTGAGATTTCGACAAAACAATTTTTTCAATTTTCAAAGCAATGTAAGGTCATCCGAAGTCACTCGGAAATAAATAAGATAGGTCTCTGAGTGTGATGACGAGCAACCACTAGGGGGGTCTACTGAGACCATAGAGAATTTTATGTAAGAAAACAACCCCACTAAAGCTGGTAAGATATTATTGAATTTGAAAAACAACTTCTTGCTCAATTTCAATACAAAGTCATGCAGGCTCACTCAGAAGTAAAAAAAATCCTTTTTTAGCAAAGTCTTCTAAGATTGAGACCATAAGATATTGTGCTACTATGAGCACAAGTAAATGTCGACAGATTCAAAAATTAATCCTACAATCCTAGTGTACAAAACTAACGCAAGAGCAGAGAGATAGGAACTGCTACCAGGTATATTCCAATTGTCTGCAGAATTGATACTAAAATTTTTTTTGTTAGGAGGGTGTTCCCAATGTTAATAAAAATAAATCGATCTAAAATATTCAAAATTAATTCCGAAATATATTCTAGAATACTTAATCACTCTGGTATGAAACTTTCCCTGCTTATAAGACTGCTACAAACCACATTTCACAAACCCAACATAACAAACGAACAACATAAGTAAATCTCCCACACACATTATCCTAAATTAATAAAGAAACAAAGAATCTATCATAATAAAGAAACAAAAACTCACCCATCTCCACTCCAATTCCTGACAAGGCTTTCCTGCAAGCACTGAATCTTTTGGAGTATTTCTTATGCGGAGGTGAGTGAATAACGGAAGTGGCCATTTCCTCGATTGCAAACTGGAAATGAAATGATTAAAATTTTTTAGAACTCAAATTTTATTAACGATATAATAAACATGTGAGTCAATCATTAAGCAACAATTGTTATGCAGAAAGCTATTCACTGGTCCATAATGATTTTTGTTACATCCCTCCTTGTACCTATTTTGAAACACTCTGGAAATGCATGAAAACTGTTTTCATTCGTT